GCCATTCTGACTCTTCGTCGTCGGAAATATGATTCAAATTGTCCGCCATATGTTTTTTTTTTCGTAACTACAATCCAATTCTTCGCTTGCGCGATGCGAGAAAACCTGTTTAACCGGTACTACAATAGACGAGTACAAATACCGCGTGATATTTGTATTGGTCTATGGCGTTATTTGTACTCTTCTGGATGTAGTTGGATAATAACGTCGAATAATCCCCGAGACGAAGTCGAGGGGATTATTCAACGATATTCACCGAACCTGAGGTGAATAATTGTTTTAGTATAATTTCAGAGCTAAATAACAGAGAAATGTCTAAAAAAAAATAACGTTTTAGTAACATTTATTAATATTTTATTTTAACATTTTATATAAACCGAGTGGAGCGGTTTATATAGCGTCACACAAGGAACCGCTCGACCAATCAGATTGCTGGAAACTCTTTGCTCAGCTCTGAAATTATACTAAGTTGAATTAATACCAATGTGATTTATAATTCAATTATAAAGCTGGCCAGTATTACCTCTCCCACACGCTTGTATGCACGTTAAATGTTTTTTCGTGCGTGTACATTTAAACTCCGTTAGACGGTTGAAAGCGATTGTTGAAGTTGTTTTTTTTTTTCAGTGAAATGTTCAGCAGGCAACCGTGGACGATACTCTTACTCTTGTACGTTGGATCAGCGATGATCTGATCGGCCCAAAATAACGAATATGAAATATATATATATAGAGATAAGACCGATACAATATAGAGGGAAAAAAATATATAAATATAGAGGCAAGACCGGTCTTGCCTCTATATTTATATTTCATATTCGTTTTTTTTTTTCAATTGAAATCTTTGTCGATGACAAATTTCAGTTTTAAGCTGTTTGTCTGCTTTCTTTTGTCGTCCTGTGGTAGTCATTATGAAGAAAGCTTAAAATTTTTTAGGGTTTTAGAACAAACGAGAAAACGTATGAAAGTTACTATTGAAGGAATTATTATTGAGTTTCGTTGTACATAAAAGCATGAATGGAGCTGGCGGCCTCCAATTTCAAAATAAAGATCAGGCAAATATGGCACTTACAGCAGGTGATTATGCAGTCTTAATTCTGTTTGCCAGTGAAATCTGGCATGGGACTTATCTAACTGAATAAAGTTCGCATGCAGAGCAAAACTTTCACTTTATTAGTTGTTTCCGTTTTAAACTACACCTTCCTTTCAAGAGTTAAGTGAATGTTTTCGTTCCTCTTCCTGTGTCTTTGCTAAATTCAGATTTCCCTTTCAGACAATTTCTTTCTAATGAATCATTATCAGCGGTAGCAACAACAGCAATCACGAAATCGCAGTTTGGAAGCTTCCCATCTCTATTTACAACTTGGTTTGTCTTCGTCATTATTGAAAGAAATTTTTTATTTTTATAGTCTCATTTAATTTGTAAATATTTTTTGTAATTTCTTCTAAATATGAAGTATTTCATTTTAGTGCCGAATTGATATATAATAAACCATTACCATTACCATTACCAAAGTGCCCGCAGATAAACAAATTGCCTCTCTCTGATAGGCTCGGCTTTTCATAATCTTTCATACTTTTCAAAATCGGACTTATGTCTTAGGAGAGTGTTAGAAGTTAGGATCCTCTTTGTTAGATATATCAAAGAACTTGTTATGAATACTGTGTGGTTGATTCTTACCTCGCGGCTGGACTGTTGTACTTGATAAGAAAGTGGTCGTGAAGTTTTGTATTACGGCGTATTTTCAAGAATAAATTGCCAGAAGGCTGAGTAAACCTTCAATGGCCAAACGAAAAAAACCAAATGGTTCAGGTAGGTATGAAAAATAAAACTCATTTCTAAGCAAAAGAATGCATATTAAACCTCTCTTTGGGGAGGAGGCTGACCAGGCAATTGAAAATGTTCGTGGACTTGCGATGAGTGGACATAAGTTGAAAACAAAATATTTCAAAAATTTGAAGATGCTTGTCTTTCCCATAAATTTTCGGTATCGATTTCTGTTGAAGAGTTTTCTGGGTATTTCCCAACTGTACATTTAGACGATGCAAAAGAACAACCACTTGAGCGGGGTCAATTTGTTCCTATTCAAACTAGCCCAGACCTTTTTTTTATTTTTAGAGCACGAATTTTCATTGCCATGTAAATCCTTACATTTCCTCTGCTGAATTTGAATCTTGTACCATGAAATCAATCTGTGTATTCTTTTATCTAAACTGAAATATTGATGGAATCGATATATTTAAAAACACGTTTACTGTAACGGCAAGTGCAATAATAGAAGTAATTACGGTGCTTTCGCGCTCGGCATCCCACCTTCAGCTGTTTATGAAAACTGTGAAATTATTTGCATTGGTTGCTGGTTGGTGTAGGATCTCTTCAAGGATTAGTGGAGTTGTAAGCGCAGTGAATACAAAGTATAATACATTGAATGTTTCGACAATTAGCCACCCACTCACTGTCAGCTTAGAGTTGCGTGGGCTATTTCTGCGGGATCAAGCTAAGATGTGGCCTACCTAAATTGAACCTTGTCCAAGCTCGTCAAACAAACACTGAAAAAAAAAGAAAAAGTGGGGTCAAAATGGATCAACAGGAAAGGTCTCTTGCTGAAATTTAAAGTGAATTTTACAAATATTCACTGTTTCGTCTATCAAAGAACTTTTTTTAACCACCAAATAATAATAATAATAATAATAATAATAATAACATATTTAACCAGGGTAAACCCGTCAGCAGAAGCTGTTATCAATAGGTGCCCTGGGAAACAAAAAAAACAAAAAACAAAAAAAAAGCAAAATAATAATAAAAGCCCTGAAAACTATTAGAAAGCCAAAGCCAAGTTATTACCGAAAAAATGATAATTGTTATGCTTTTCTTCACTTACCTCATTCTAACAGCAACTCGGAAGCCTCTGACGGAAAACTAATCAAAAGTGCCTCATTGTCAGCACAAAAACAAACGAACGAATTGTCAATGACAACAGATACATAATAAAAACATTCACCGCAATCTTTTTTTTTTTTTGGTTTTAATTAGTCTTGATTCAAACAAATGATATGAAAAAGGCGCCATCGACAACAGTGAATTTCTTACTTTTTTCTTTAAAGTTCATACCGATTCTTGGCCGTTTGCGAACGTTTTAGAATTATGTGCCAAGGTCATAATCAAACAGTAAAGGAAGCAAGAAGTGTGGTGTTTAACCGTTTAAGTTCAATTTATCAACAAGTACTCTCATGAGGACTTTAAAATGCCTAAACAATGTCAAACCAAATGACACGCAGAGTATTCGGTTTCATTTCATAAGCCAACGCAGGTGGATTGCTTGCTAAAATTAAAGCCTCGTTGCATGAAAATTTGAGTTTCAATAAAAGGGCAAGTGAACTGTAAGAGTGGAATCCAAACTAGCGACGGAACATAGTTGTTTTAGAGCTTAATTTTTTATTCAACTTTTTCCAAACCCATAAATATGGTTCATGCACGTAATTTATTTATATAATTCAAGTTACAATTGCAGTCGTGATGCCCTAGATTATATACAAGGAGTGGCTTTCTAGACTTTCTATTATCATCTTGGGTAAAAAAATTTTAGACTTCGTCTGTAATATTGAATGAGAATATTGGACAGTCATGCTGCAAAATGGATTAATGCACGCAAGGTGGCACTTTGACAAATTCAAAAAAATATGAAGGGATGATAAATGAGCTTTGGTATATACACTGAAATTTGATCTGAGATTAAGAATTTTGATTTTTTGTCTGGCACAATTTTTTTACACAAGTCTAATTTGTATCAAATAATTAATATCACGATTATTCAGTCAGAAAACCTCAACCGACTGAAATTTTGTTGAAGCAACTTGATAGAATCTATACCAGCGAGGAGCTTCAAAGCGGTCTTGGATGAATTTACATTTCATTTCTTAAGTAAGCTTATATTTTTGCATATTCATTTACGATCTGTAATTATTAAGTGAAGGAAAATACAGGACGTAAGCCATTAAAAACATTGTTTAAAGTTTGCAAACACGGATAGGTAAGTCAGACAATTCACTGTTAAGTGACAGCCCTAAAGCAAAAAAAATAATGAAATTGCCGTGTAATTGCAAATTTACGGGCTCGTTATCCAGTTTTCTTGGCAAGTGAAATCGACCTTTAAAGCTTTCAACCCGTTTTAGCAAGAACGGTTGCGACAGAGCGTTAAGAGAAGTTCGATTAAAATGGCGACATGGTTCCATATTCTCGGATGGGTCCTTTCTATCGCTACAGTGGTAGGGAATGGTTTTGTGGTAGGCCTTCTGGCCCACACGCCCCGACTTCATTCTACTTCAAACTGGTTCGTTCTGTCTTTGGCAGTGGCCGACTTCGGCGTTGGTATCATCGTTTATCCTTTTTCATTTTTTTGTTATCGCTCAATGCAGTGTAACCTTAAAGTATACGTGGCGTTTTTCTGGTTTTTCCTTCATTCGTCGGCCACAAATCTTTGTGCATTGACTTGGAATCGTTACTTCGCAATTGTTCATCCATTCAAGTACCATATGTCCATGACCGAAAGACGTCCAGGTATAGTTATCATGACAGCATGGTTAGTTTCCTTTGCGAGTGCCTTGTCTCTTTTGGTGGGATTATACGCAACACAGTCTCCAACTGTCTTGAAGATCTTGCGAATAGCAAACATCTCCATCTTTGACATAGTATCCTGCGCACTGCTTTTGTATTCCGTTATTCGTATTCTCATTGTGGCTCGAACTCAGGCACAGCAGGTGTCCGCTGGATCAGAGCTACACGGAAGGCCCTCCACGGAAGTAGAACCCTCGCGCAGAGGAAACCAGCGCAACACAGCTCTCTTCATCATCGCTTTAGTTGTGTTTTTCTTGGGATGTTACGTAATTGTAAGCGCTGTAACTCTTTGTTTGACTTTTTCCTCATGTCAGACTTCTAATACAGCTGGCCAGGCCATAGTTTGCCTGCTTACTGTGAACTCCGCAGTGAATCCTTTAGTATACGCGTTTTTAAAGAGGGATATTAAGAGAGAAGCACAGAGGCTTTTCTGCAGAGAACACTTTAATGAAGACTTGACTCGTCAAGTCCTTACAGTGAGAACGTCAACGGCATTTTAAAAATGCGGAACAAGTGCCATTCTATTAGGTCTTTTCAAGGGTATCTTTTATTCCTTCGTGTGTCGATAGAAGTTTCAAAGATGCAGCAAGAACCGTGCTTCTAAAACCTGTTAATTCTTGTATTTCGGCTTAGTTCATTTTGTTTTGTTCATTGTGTTTATCTCATTATATAAAATTTAAATTCGAAATTGATTTACAAACGAAAAAAAATACGTTTCCGGACTATTTTGTATCCCAACCATATGATATAATTGAAACAAAAATTAATAGTCTCACTTACAATACAACATAAAATAGTGACTTGCAATTTTACTTGTCTTTTTTTATTTGTTCTTATTGACAAGCCCTTAATACATCCTGCCGACCAAAATTTAAAACAATTCTTCGAATCACGTTAACACTTATGTTTACTGTGCCAGAACGAACCTTTCCTAAATTAACTAGCACTGAAAAAATGTCGCCATGAACCTTTTCTCTTTTCAAGGACTCTTCTAAAAAATGATACGGTGATCAAGTGGAGTAAAATTATACTGCAGTAGCTCATGACAACCCGACAATTTTCAAACTTAAATTAGGTTTTTCGGTTTGGTTGTATTTTGGATGTCGTCTTTAGTTGATGTTGCTGTTTGGATTCACCTTTTGTCAGAGTATGTTGTTGTGACACTAGAATAAAAGGAGTGAAAATTGTTGCAGTAGCTCGTGACAACCTGGCAATTTTAAAACTTATATTACGTTTTTCGGTTCGGTTGCATTTTGGTTGTTGTCTTTAATTGACGTTGCTGTTTGGATTTGCCGACTGTTAGAATATTTTGTTATCAAAGTGAAATAGAAGGAGTAGGCGGCTTCTTGGCTCGAAAAACAGTTATATTCTGATTTTCAATCGTAATTTACATATTGAATCGGTTTCCAGAGGCCTTAGCTACTTAAAAGTGGGCGTGTAAAGTAAATCGGTCCTAGGGTGTAGTTTAGTTTGCCTCCTGTTATTAGCTTAAGAGACTTTAGTTGCGTTTAAGATTTTCTTCACTTAAATAAGACTGATTGGGAAGTGCCCTTAGAATGTGAAGAGATGTAAAAATTATGTTTAAGCCCGAAAAAAAAAAAATAACATTGAGAGATCAAAGAAATAAAGTGCATCATTTGACGTTTGCGACATGTGATTCACACGCAAGAAGGTGTAGTAGGAATCTTTCCCCGTTTACGGCCAATTTTCGAAATAAACCACGACAAAAAGTAACAAAACAAAGAGTGATGAATACATACATAACAAGTAAAAACAATAACTACAAAATAGAAGTGAGATCAAAACTCGAAGAACGGTGAAATGCAGTTGCAACTGACGTTCGAGTCTACATCCAAATAGAAAAGCTCGCTCACTACCCCCAATGACTGAAAATGTTTACAGAATTCTTCAAACTTAAGGTAGCAGCTGCATCGGAAGAAAAAAAAAGTAGCATAAAAGTTTTTTTCTTTGTTGCTTTATGATAGATTTCTTAACTTCATTTTGCCACGATGTAGTTTAGTTTGATTAGCTAAAAATAAGGTATTACTCTCTATGCGAACCAAGTTTGCTTTGTCCTAGTCATCTTCTATTCAGTAACATTGAAAGATAGTTTCGGCACTATTGTCTCAATTATTTTGGGCGCCTAGCATTTGCGCTTTTTCTGCACTGCAAATAGCATGACAGCGCTTCATCCTTAAAACTCCCTTTACGTGAGTCAAAAGCTACCACAAAAACTTAATCTTTAGCATTTCCACTTAAGAGATTATAATGGTTGTGATCTCATTCAAAAGTCGCGTTGACCAACATTGAAAAGATATGAATCCACTGTACTCAGAGATACTGCAAGGCTCTTTGTATTCGATATTCAGTGTTATTATATACATACGGAGATTTACACACTGAAAAGCCGCAGAGTAAATTTTCGTTCGCAAACCGATGTAAACGAATCAAATGTCGCGTATCGCTTTTCCCACATGTGAGAAAAGCGATACGTCCAATCAGGAGCCGCGTATCATGTTTTTTCACGTGTGAGCCGTACGGCAAGTTGAAGTTTTCATTCAAGGCTGGTTGGCGCGGTTTCGTACATCACACAAGCCATCGCTTTGCAAATAGTTTTTATTCGCATTTCTTCCATCGTTAATATTGAAAGTTCCTGTCTCGGCGAAAGCCATGAGCGAAAAGCGTTTCGTTCTCCACGATTCATAACTTTTGGATTTTATTTGAGCTCTTTACCTTTTTACGAAGCTGCTTTCTTTCACTGATTGTTGTTTGACCACATTTGTTCAAATAAAGCTTGTCATAATTTAAGGAGGGTGTTCAGTCTCAGTATGTATATAACAAACATAATACTACATGGAAAGTGCTTTGTATGGTGTTTACACACTCGTTGTTTTGTATCAGAAATCTCACTCGTTCGCTTCGCTCACTTGTTCGATTTCTGATACACCACAACTCGTGTGTAAACACCGTATGCGCGCACTTTCCATGAAGTATTCTATATATCATTGGATTGTATGGCGCACATTCCAGCCTGTACATCATTCACTTTTGATTAAAGATATGCTGAAAATCAAATTTCAAAAAAACAAAGAGAAAACGCAGGACAAAGAAAGACTGGCATTCGAGCTGAGTTGAGAAGGACTCCGAATGAAAAATTATACGTCACCAGACTGATCAAGGACCTGTTTTGGCTCAAGTCAACAAATGATCCACGGGAGAGACAGGTACGTCCAGTCGAACGCGTCTCTCAGCAAGTAATGGCCACGTTTATTTAATTTCAAGATAGATTTTATGAATAATGCGCTTAGGAAGAGCTATCTATTCGGAAGCAATACTTCGGTGTCATTAGCACATGATATTTTTTCAACAAATAAGATTTTATTTGCTAAGGGTTTGAAAGTTTACGTTTGGTGATTTATTTTGGTCTAGCCTTAGGGTCAAGCATAGCGAATGGAGACTTACTGTCTGATGACGCCTGCATGAAAATTGGCTCATTTGATTCGCACAACAGTTTTGATCATGAGCCTCGTAACAAACGCTTAACGATGATATTGTACGGCTCCCTTAATGCAGGTCCTTTAGACAAGTTAGATAAAAAAGAATATAATCTCCTAGAGTTTTTTAAGATATTTCAATTGTTATGACAAAGCACAAGCAATGATGAGTTTCTTAGGCAACAGTTTTCCGGGCCATTTCGTTCCACGCAGGCTCCATCTGTATATCTAACTTTATTTGGCTTCAAAGACGTTCTTAGCCTACAAAAAAAAAAAAAATGGAAAAATTAACAACGGAAAAAACATTCACACATACATGATAAATACTAGCTAGAAAGCATCACTTAAAGCTTCTGAGATTATTCGAAATAAACCCTCAAGGTACCCTGTGGGGTACTTCTTGATGTAAGCTTGATACTTCAATTTTTCTGTCATCAGTGCAAATTGTGAAAGCGTAACCTCTACTAATGGAAATTTCTTTTAACTCTGCTCATTATAAACGGTAGAAAATATTTTAAAATACTGTAATAGTTGGTTCAAAGACCTTCTCTTCGTCTGGTATAACCCAATTACCAATTACCTTCTCTCCGACTGGAATTACTTGCGACTCGCCAATAATCCTAGACAAGACAGATCCTCAATGCTCTTTGAATTCCAACCTGCTCTTTTTACAAAAGAAAAAATATGAAACATTAACGTCACGGTAATTCTAAGACTGAACGCGAACACGCATGAAGTGTATCATGATATTTCAAAGTGTTAGCGATCTATGTCGATGTGTTGTTTATATACAGCGCAGAACTGATATCGACTTTAACTTCAGACAACCATATAGATTACTAGCTTTCATAGCATAGTCCTCAAATGATTTTCATAACATCATTCGAAGAATTGCTCCTATTGCATTTAACAATCCTTGAACGAGTTTGATGGAAAGATTGGGATGTTTTAATTTAAAAATTAGAGAAATCAGCGGGACACAACTAATGACAACTCGAGACAACTGAATCGAATAATTTATTTATCATTCGATCAACTTTTTTTTCTTTGTTTGTCTGTTTGTCGCTTTGTTTCTTTTTTATCATTATTTTTAAACAATCAATCTTAGAATCTTGGGAAAGTGATCGGGTATTTTTTCACGGAGGAGCACAAGACACCAACGTAGAACCGGGTACCAAGACATAGTTCGACAGTGTTTTGCATCTAGAGACCACTATTATTAGGTGGCGTTTGATAAGGTTTTTACGCAACGAAATGAAAGGCAGAAATGCATCTGATGGTGGAGGTGTTTTTTTCGATATGTTGGTCATGATGAGAGTGACACCAAATGTCATTATAGTTATATTATGAGGACTGTCATCGGGATTTCGGTTTTGAGGTTTTGGCTATTTTTCAAATCGGTTTTTTCGGTATCTGTGCCGAAAAGCTTCGGTTTTTCGGTTTTGTTGTTCATTGCGGTTTACGAATTTTCCATTTTTTAGCATTTGGTTGACGGTATTCGTCAAAAATACCAGCGGGTTTTCGGATTTGGTATTCGATGTGGTTTTCTGTTTTTCCTATTTGGGTTCCGGTTTCTCTTCTATGCTCCACATGTTACCCCTATACACTTTTGCGAGCGGTTTTCTGTTTTGATCAAAAATTTTACCGGTTTTACGGCTTAGATGACTTTTTGTAGCGGCTTTTCGGATTTGGCATCCGATGTGGTTTTCGGTTTTTCCTATTTGGGTTCCGGTTTCTCTTCTATGCTCCACTTGTCACCACTGTACGCTGTTGCGTACGGTTTCCTACGGTTTTGAGGTTTCTAAGAGACCCCAATGCCGGTAGTTTGGAAAATATGGAATGCCTGAATTCGGAACCGGAACCGGAACTGGAATACTCGGAATACCCGGAATTCCCGGAAGGACCGAAAAATAATAAATTTTAAAAAGATGAAAGTAAATTAYTAAATAAATAAGAATATAGATGATTAAAAGTTAATGTTGAACTCACAACTTAATTAGATAATTTAATACGAAATTTTTCTCAGAGGGTCCCGAAAAAAAAACAATTACCGGCACTGTTCATGGAGATGCACGTATTAGAATTAAAAAAAGTCTGCGTCAGGCCATTAGCCCATACAGCCTAAGCGACGAAATATTTGTATT